CTGGATATACTCAAAATCCACCTGGACGCGTTCCTGTGCAACTGCTGTAGGTGAACCTGCTTTGGCAGGGGGGTTGGACTGGGTGATCTCCAGAGGTCCCTTCCAACCCCCACCATTCTGTGATTCTGTGAATATATTCTCTGGAACAATCATATTTCAGAGCATGTGCTTCCAGCCTAATAAAATACTCAGGTGCCCATGTAATTTCCTAACAAATCTGAATTATCAACTTCCAAACTAAAAACATCACAGATTCAAATAATCCACAAAAGCTAGACTCACCTAAGTAAGAGAATCTTAAGCTGTGCAAGTTATTTTATATTCTCATCTGTCCAACAAAAATAAAACACTGACAAAAATCAAATCAAAGTCATAGTATGCAAAGAGGGCTATTATCAGGAAGGTGTTTTGAGGACTGACAATCAGCTTCCAGAGTGCCACAAAGCTGCAAGGGTTTTTGTTTGGTGTTTTATTATTATTATTATTTATTTATATTGAAACAACTTTGTTTTAAAAAGAGTCTTCATAAATAAGTATGCTGATAAATAAAATTTTGTCTTCCTTTCCCTCTAAACTGTAATCGTGATCAGGTCTCTCTCCAGCTTTGCTATATAGGTCAGACTCACATCTACATTTGCAGGGCCCAACAAGCACCATATTGCCAGGACAAACACCTGAAGACCTGGCTTTTCTTATTCTTTTCTGTTCAGTTCCAGTGCAGTCCACCAAATGAAGCTACAGGATTTAGAAACTCCCCCTTCATATTCCTACCCTATGCTTCTCTCCCATAAAACAGATGAAAAGGGAGACTGGAATTTCTCTGCCGAGTTTGAATGGCTTTCATGGAAGGCTACGCTAGCACGCGTATGTATTAGTACAGGATCAAGAATGGCAACGGAGAAAAGGTCAACCTTAAAATACCGGTGAAAAAGATGGCAAAGAGTAAGGTGAGCTGAGCTAGCGCACAATTAAATAGAGTGCTGAACTCTTTAGTATTTATATCTAGGATGTGAATATGGGAGCCATTTCATCATAAAAATCTCTGAAGCAAGAGCAAAATATTACTACTAAAGTGATGACCTCAAGTTTTTTTTAAAAGAATATAAGAGATCATTGAAAATGACAACTAAAGATTTCAAAAGCAGCATGATGAACCAAGGGATAGATTTGTCAGTTCAAGACAGTGCCACGCCAACACCCAAGAGCCTGTCTAGTTTGAGAAAATTACAATGATAGTCTGTGACAATCAGCTAGACTAAGGCTAACCGAGAAATTAGATTTAGGCTGCCCAAGACTTCTGGTATGTCAGTAAGAACTGAATTCAAAACTTCAAAATATAATATTGGTCAATACATCAACTACCTAGTGGGTGACGTATAAGTGTGTTTGTCCAGTAGCTGAAACAGGAAATCATGTTAAATTCACATTTTTCCTTATTATCCATACTCTGATTTTTCAGCATCAATGCAATACTCTTTATTATGAGAATATTTAGCTAATAAAATCCTAGCATCCTGTTATTACCTTTATGCTTCATTTTTCTTTATTAAATGGGTTAAAGAGAAAGAGTCAGATGCAAATAGGAGACCTAAAATTACCAATGAACTTGAATATGATTTAGTTTGTCAGCTTACGTCTGCATCCCAATGGGCCTTTTGACACAGACAGGTCTTCTTTCTTTACTATACTTTCAAAACAGCAGTGAGTTTTGAGGTTATTGCTTTTAATAAGGAGAGGATTAACAAGAGAAAAAACTCCTTGGTAAGGCCTGCTTCTCTATAGTCAAATTTCTTGCTACAATTATTTTTTCTTTCTTGGCAATCAGTGTTTTTAAATAGATTTCATAAAATGTGGTTATTTTTATTTCATTTTATAAGCAAGCCATTTAATGTATCTCAATCCTCTTTAAAAAAAGGAAAAACTTTTTTTGAAGTGAGAGGCTTTTCTCCAGAACTGTAAAAGAATATTTTCATGATAATCCCATCACAAAAAAAAATTACTTTTGTAAATTTTTTGTTTCCTGAAGGTATCAGTTTAACAGCTTGACAGTCAAAGTCCTCTGTCAATACACAAATACTACAGAACTAGAGGCAAGAGTGAAAATTGTTGACTTCCCAGTTCTGCTGAAGCAAATCCAGGAACCTTACTTTTAATGGAGTCACAGTAAATTATCTTTCAGGCTGGTCAGCCGTAAATGTACGAGTCCCAAAAAGAATCTCCTTGCAGGATTAGCAGGTCTTAAAACCCGAGACTATACAAGCAGGCAATTACAAATAAACAGCAATAAACTCTGATTTTTGATCCAGCATTTTGCAGATGCTAAATAACAAGAAATCTGACAAAGCCTGTAAATCTCACTGCTTTTAATTCAATACAGAAAAAGGACATTAATAGACAACAAATAAATTAAACACTGCAAAAGAGTTTTCTCATTTTTTAACAAAATGCATGCTGTGTAGCCACAGCCACTAAATTCTTCCTTCCATTTACTGTGGGTTTATCACAGACAACGGAGGCAACACATTTGTGGATGTTTTGGGGTTTTTTGGTTTTGTTTTGGTTAGCATCCTGCTAGACCAAAACAGAATCCCAGAAGAATTTAGGTTCCAAGGGCCCTCTGGAGGTCATCTAGTCCAAATCCCGCTTTGACAGCAGGGCTAACACTGCAAAGCCAGATCCAGTTGTTCAAGGTCAAAAACATATGAGAGAACCCACTGCTGCCTTCATTAATTTCTGAATCATTCATTATGATAGGTAGAATTGGATTTAACTTTCTAAAAGATGTTTGAAACACGGTGCTTAGGACATGTTTAACAACACAAAAGTAAAGGTAAAGACACCAAACCAATTTCTCTACTCTTAACGCTCCTTGAAAGGCAAGAAAGTCCTCATCCCAACCTGTCAGATTATACGTTGCAGTGGTATCAACCAGGAGATTTACTTGCTCAGATTATCCCTAACCTCAGGGAATTTGAAATAAAAAGTTGCATACCTTAAAGGAAGTAACATACATTATTATTATTTCCAATAAATCTGAGTTACTATTACAAGAAAATAACGTATCAGTCTTCTTCATATACAAAGATGAAACAACACAACACATCTCACTCATCATGTAAGTGATAACATTTGTAATTACACAAATTGGTTTTAGCATGTAGCAAGTGAAAACTTCTCCAAACAGATACTAAAATTAATAGTTCAGTTCCTCTTTGCTCTCAGCAAACAGGAACATACCTAGTGTCCCCAGAGCCCACAGGGTAACTAAAACATGAGGGTAGGCTGAGCAGAGAGACTGCAGTTCACCCTTCAAAGTTAGAAGACAATCTTCAATATAGCCTATAAATCAGGAGCTCTAAAAATGCAGGCAACAGACAATCTACACCAGAAGTGGTAAAGCCACTGGTGGACCCACAGTCTCCAATAAATCAATCTCTGCTTAAATATCTTTCAGTTGGGGTTGAGAAAAGTAACATTCCCTTACTAGAGGCTAAGATGGCTCAACTGATGCATGACTGCAAGCCTGAGCATTGCACTATCAACAAATAAAATATGCCTGCTAAAACAAACTTCCCGGTCCCCACTCTAAGGAGCTTACAGATTAACAGGAACAAAGAGTAAATTACATAATACAAAACTACATCAGAACTGCAAGCTATTTAAACAAGCAAACACTACTTAAACTGTTTGCGCTAGACAACGTCTGACCTAGTTTACAGTGAAGTCCTAA